TATATATTCACCCTTCACTTTGTTGCATATTTTGTGACTTTAAATCTCTGCTGGGGACTATTTTGTGGGGTGGGGTGGAAAATGAGGTGAAGAGGAAATGACACAAAGTTTTCTGGGAATGGCATTTAAGGAAAGGCACAAAGGAAAATGATGGTGCAGCTTGGGGATAAGTAATGTGGCCTGGGGAAAGTGTCAATGTCCAGAGAGACATTTGGCCCCAGCCTGAGGTGCCGCCTCTCTTAGGTATGAGAATATATACTTGCCTGCCTTTTCCAAAAAATTGGCTTGATTTGATGCAACTAACCAGGCTTCCTTTCATACAAAAGCGGAATTTTATGGCAACATAGATATGGTAGCTAGAGTCTAGAGAGATCCCAGCTATACAATTTGAATGCCGGGCCATTGATTCCCAATTCATTTGCAGCAAAGTGACATGACATTGCTTCAACCCTTTCTAGGATTTTTTCTCGTCACGTTCCTTATCACAGAAATCAGATCTTTTTGAGAAGTTGGTTTATTGTACCTACGGGACCGCCTCTCCTGGTATGCCCCACAGAGAAACTTACGGTCTTCAAATAAAAACATCTTGAAGGTCCCAGGCCACAGAGAAGTTAGGCTGGCCTCAACTAGAGCCAGGGCTTTTTCGGCTGTGGCTCCGATCTGGTGGAACACTCTGTCACAAGAGACCAGGGCCCTGCGGGACTTGACATCTTTCCGCAGGGCCTGCAAGACAGAGCTGTTCCACCAGGCCTTTGGCCAGGGCACAGCCTGACTCCCTCCCTCGGCAATCTTCACGGAGCTCTGGCCCAATGGTTGCCAGTGGCTTGAATTAATTAATTTTATAATGAATGATTTTAGAGTGTTGTTTATGCTGTACTTTTGTACTGTCTTATTGTTGTTAGCCGCCCTGAGCCCGGCTTTGGCTGGGGAGGGCGGGATATAAATAAAATTTATTATTATTATTATTATTATTATTATTATTATTATGCAAGACCTCCCAATGAATCATTATGTGCAACTTGAATTTGCCAGTATGTAATTGAATCCTACCCAAAAATAACAACCATCTCTCTACTGTGAGGACCACCTCACTTACCACACATTCCCTTTGCAATATGAACCGTGGTAGGGAAATTGATATCTGTGTACACCAGGGCAAGTCAACATAATGCTCTTCTTTGGCCTTTGACTCCATTTCTCATCAGCCCCAGCCAGCATGGCCAGTGGTCATAGATGATGTGTGTTGTAATCCAGCATTATCTGCAGAGCACCACATTGGCTACATCTGGTATATACTGCATACCATCATATGTGAAAACAGATCAAGTGTTTATTTTTATGTGATAACTTCGAAACACCTGTCATAACCACTGCCAAACATACACACATGCTATTTTGCTCTCTTCCTGTGGAGAGGATATGTCTGTGTAGCAAAACTACATGTGTGAAGTTTCATCTTTATGGCAATGTGGGGAAATCTGTGCCAATAACTTGGTTGCTTTTGCTGTTCTTGCAATAGGAAGTGTGAGCACACCTCTTTCTCAAGATGCACAGCATGTTTGCTTTAGCAGGTCTGCCATGCAAGTCTCATTTCTGAGGTCTGCATTAATACCCAGTGTAGCTGAAAACTATGGGCTGTTTCATGCATAAATATTTTCCTGCACTGACCTCTGTTCTCTGATTTAATGCTGAGAAACAGCCAATGCTGGAGAGATTACTCCTTTCAATGGATAATCAAAATCCAAGCTGACTCATTTATGTGCAAAGAAAAGTCAACCTATAGTGACATTCCCCAATACAGAGGTGTAGCAAGGTAAGGTGGTACCCGGTGCAGGAAAAAATTGTCACCTCCCCCCCCCCCCCATCAATGACTCGGGGTAGGTTTAGGAGTCGCAGGCAGATGGCGCGCCCCCCCCCCTTCCTACGCCTCTGCCCAATATTCTTATTTTTTGTATGATTTATAAATTAAGTTGTGGTTTTGAGTTCAATATAAATTTGGACATCTTGGTAGGAAACAGAAATTGTTTGGCTTGGGAGCTTCCACTGAAATAGCTTCCTGTTGTGATTAGATGCTTCTTTGGACTGACAGTATAAACTCTCTCTCGCTCTGCTAGCTAGTCCAGTGGAATCCAGCACAATTGCTACATAGCCAGGCCCCACATGAGAGTTCAGTGTGCATCAATGAGTTTGAATGTTGCAAAGAGTTAATTGTGTGAAACGTTGCAATGCCTATCTCCGTAATGCAAATCACTAGAAAATTCACAAGGACACTCATGCAGAGGTGCAGCTGCTGTCTTTTTGACTTACAAAAAGCAAGGTATTGAGAGTGCTGTATGAGCAACAGCTGTAGTAAATAATTGTTGCAATTGCTGCTGATAATTCTATCTCTATATCATCACCAGATGCAGGATCCTTCTCTAATCAGCCTTCCCCTCTCAGAAGTCATTCTGTATCCGTATCAGATCTGTGATCTCAATCTACCCCACATCAGAGACGTCTGATGTTCAGTATCAAGTGCATCACTTTGTATTGAAAATTATCCACCACTATATTATTATTATTATTATTATTATTATTATTATTATTATTGCCTTCCCTTCACCGTAAAGTCCCAGGATGGGCTACCACAATTACAACACAACATTAAAATCCACTATCACATAGTATTGGACATCTCTGTGTGTATTTTGTTTCCTATTATTATTTAAAATTGGAAATATTGTATGGTCAGTTGCAAGATAAACTATGATCAGTGCTGTGATATCACATGTAAAATGGGTTTTAGACTGGTATAATTTAATATGCTGTTCAAAATAATATTTAGTAAGATTTGAGTCTGCCGACTGGCATCGCAATACAAGGCAGATACAATCATTATGATCAACAGTGAGGATCGCACCATCAAAATTCTACAGCTGCTTAACTTTTATTTCCTAGCCTGTTACACATTTATGTAGAACTTAAGCACCCTGGAATACCAAGTCTTGACTATCAATGTGTTATTCCCAATATATTAAAATATTGTCCTTATCATCATTCTTATCCTCAACCTCAATCCTATGCAGAGTTAGGCAGAGTCATCCACTTACCTGCCTGCTTTAGAGAATTGTCCTGAGAGCACAAAAAATGTGATGCTGAAAGTTCGTGTTTTCTAGGAGGAACTGGCCTTTGCAAAACTTCCCTCCAGAAAGCACACCAAGTCCTCCTTTCTATTACTTAAGAAGCTGGGTGAGGAATAGGCTGTGGAGGACTATAACAGGAAACAGCTCCAGCTGTAAGAAGTATACTAGTAGGGGACTCACTCAGTTCCTTCACTTTGATTACCCCAACATGATGTTGAACTTAGTTACTAGTTCACAGCTCCTTCCTTGCAGATCAAAGATCAAGCTGTTCGGTCTGATATAGTCAGAAACTCATCTACTCCTGTAGACAGTGTTTAGAAAATCTGTCTGCATGCACTGAAAAATTCTAATGCAGTCTTTGAAAATACTGTGATGGACTTCCATAACCATAAAAAGCATGTCCTGTTTCAGATCTGCAGGAGAGGGGAAAGCGTATTTTTAAGAACATTGTTGTTGTTTATGATAGAGTTCAGGGGCTGCAACTGGAGGACATGATAACTGAAGGGTGTAGGGTAAATTGAACCTCCCTCTCTTTGAAAATAATGACGTATGATTCAAATGACACCCCCCCCCCATTTTTATCACTGAATGTATATACAGTAGAAGGAGATTTGTGAGATTCAATGGTTTACCAATTTTGAACTGGAGTTGTTCTAAGTATATAGTTAATTCTGTATTCTGTGCCAGAAGTCAAGAGTAATTATTTCTGTGAGATGACATGTGAGTGACAAGCCTGAGTGAAGGCACTCACAGATTACCTGTTTGTTTGTTTGTTGCTTTCTTTTCTTCTTGATTTGTTTCTTGATTTGTTTGTGGGGAATTTAGATGATGTGTTTGCAGGGAAGTTAGATGACGTGTCAACACAACTAATTTCCCACACATTCCAGGGCATCTCCCCATCACTTTCCTTAATTGCAAAAATTTGATATTTGCGGCAGAAGGTTTTTTGCTCAAGACCTCCCAATCAAGTATATTAGTCCATCCTGAAGTATGTGACTGAATCTCATCTCCAAATAGTGACAGTCTGAAAGTTCTTTTAGTTTCCTTTGCTGGACAAACACAGCATCCATCAGTACACACAATTTCTGCCCACAAATCGTTCTCTGCTTAAAGGGCTATGAAACAACATCAGAGCTGCAATCACTGACAGGAAGATGAAAAGCAATTTAAAGATTTCACCAAATAATATTTTGCCATCCTAGCTGCCTGACTGGCATGCAGGAAATAATATGTGTCCCTTGATGCTCTCCTTACAACTCCCCAGCAGAGGGAACTATTGCTTGACTATGAAGCAGAAAGTTTGGATGTTTTAGGGAAGCTACTTCAAATGTGAATGATTTCTGGCAATTTTTTGCTGGTGTAGGGATGTTGGGATTAGGTGATGTTCATCAAACAAAAACAATGGGACTTTTATTTTTATATTTTTTTTATTAAATTTTCTGTTTTACAATTTCAAATAAACATTTTACAAACTTTAAAATATCCGATGACTTCCTGTCTTCTCTTTCCATGGTTCATTTTGCATATCTTACACCCCTGCATATTTTACAATAACCATTCCAATCGGTTTTCCACTATTACATCCATCAAGAATTATTTACTCTGTTGAATTTATCTTAATGCTGCCAGTGTTTTCAGCTGTACACAGTTATTTTCCATATACTCAATATATTCCATATTTTCCATATACTCGATATTTTTGATATTTTCCATATACTCAACAAACGTTTTCCACTCTTCTTTAAACGTACAGTATATTCTTCTTGCTCTCTTATTCTATATGTTAAATCTGCAAGTTGTGCATATTCTGTCAATTTAAGTTGCCAATCCTCTTTAGTTGGGACCTCACTCACTTTCCATTTTGGGGCTAACAAAACACGGGCCGCAGTTGTTGTGTACATAAATAACCTCCTCTGACACCTGGGTATTTCAGTCTCTATATATTTTAGAATATATATTATATATATATATATATTTAAGTTTTACATAAATAGAAAGGTCATGGATTGAGCTGTTTTTTGGGTATTTGATAACCATTTGGCCACACTGTTTAACATTTTTTAAATTTAAAAAAACTAATACTCTGTATGTGCATATATTTGTGGGTATGACCACTGGTAAACAAAAGCTGATGCCATAATAAATATGTTAGCCTTTGGTGCCACAAGACTCTTGTGTTGTTTTTGCTACAAAGATTATACTTGATCTTTTCACACCTCACTGTCAGGCTGGCTAGCCAGTTTATGTGATTTCTGTTGCAATTGTGGCTCCTGGCCAAAAATGCACATACCCTCTGCGAATTCTGTTTCACAGTCACACCCTTTACAGCAGCCTTTTCCAACCTAGTGCCCTCCAAATGTTTTGGACTACAACTTCCATCAGCCAACTGGCAGGGGCTGATGGGAACTGTAGTCAAAAACATCTGGAAAGCACCTGCTTGGGAAAGACTGCTTCAGAAACATGGCTTCTGCCTGATCATGACTTCTGTTCCAGCTCCAGCTCTGCACTGTGTCCTGTGAGTGGTGTTGCCCTAAATGCTAAAAAGTCAGGTGTAGAGCCTAGCTTCTCCATCGCCTTTCTACCTGGTGACCCTTGAAGACTGTATTGCCATCATGCCCCGAGTTGAATTCCCAGCCAGGAAAGGCCCTGCTCCTTCATTTGGGGCCTGCCCACCTTGGCCATGCTTGACTTGCAAATAATGTTCTCAGGAGTTGTTCCCAAAAGCCTATTTCTGCTTTCATAAAGCTTGATTTGTTTTTCTGTGAATGTTTTCACACAGAGAGAACAAATATTGTCCTTCTGGCCCCTCCTGTTAGCTTTGGGGGTGTCTCTCGCCTTTTAGATACATTGGTAACTGAAGTCCTGCTGACAGGTAGAACCACATAATTGTTTTAATAGGGATCATAAATACGCTCGGCTCAAATAACAATGTCTCATAAAATGCAAATCACTGAGATGGGAAAGGCTGATCTTATCCACCACTAAATAGCACACTACCCTCACCCCCTGGGCGAGGGAAGATACGCAGATGGAGTTCAACAGGCCAAAAAGGAAGCTTCCTACATACTACAGATGCTGTATTTCCTGAACTATAACAGAAGCTTCTCCTCATAAAAAGTTGGGTGACTTGAAATGTAGTTGGCTTCAAATGTTTCAAGTTAGGTCATTCATGAACCACATTTTCAGTAATGAACAATCCTTATGAAGGAACAGGTTTGTTTGTGCAATGGGATGCATTTAAAGCAGTTGCTAAGGGGTCAGTTACTGACTTGATCATAGCTCTGCAGTCAAGATTACAGCAAAATCATATTTCTATGATGACCACATTCAATTTAAAATATACAAAAGGCAGTTCTACAAAATAAGGAATTAAAGGTAGAGAGGGGATTAAGTTTCCTTGCTCTGTGTATTTTATTTTTAGTTAAGCTCATATAGAAATGATAGCTACATCCAGTCAAAATTTTATCACAGGATTCTATTTTGGACAGAATGGCTTTAGCAGAACAAGAGATGGTTTGGATTGTTTATAAGAAACTATATATAATATGCATGGCACAGAAGAGCATGATGATCAAAGGAAGAATGAAGCCAAACATTTGTGGCAGGATTCTGTTTCACCCTCATTTCAGCTGTTTAATTCCATCCCATTTTTTCTTCCCCCCAGCCTATTACAGAGAGGTAGATGAGAAGGAGGAACCCCTTCTAAACCGAGTCAAGGCTTCTTTGCTGATGATGCCTCTTGTGACCAGGATCTTGAGGAAGTTGTTCCGGAACTTCTGCCCTATGGAGGTATATATGATGGGGTTTACGCAGCTGTGAGCAAATCCCAAGATTTCAGTACCCGAAAGGGCTGTATCAATGCTGTTGCGAAGGTCACAGGTTTCACCAATAGCTCCAGACCTCATTAACGTATCAAGAAGCAAAGAGATATTGTAGGGCAGCCAACAGACCAGGAAGACCAGCACCACAGCCAAGATGACTTTCATGGCCTTCTTTTTTTGACTGTTCTTGGTCTGGTAGAGTCTGTGTACCATCACACCATAGCAGAAGAGCATGACGATCAAGGGAAGAATGAAGCCAAACGTTTGTGGCAGGATTCTCAGTTTCGCCCTAATGCCAGATATTTGATTCCATCCAATATATTCGTGACAAACCCATTTCATCTCCTCGGTTGGCAAGAAAGCCTCATGGAAGATAATTACAGGAAGGGAGAGGAGGAAGGAGAGCAGCCAGATGCCAACACAGACAAATCTGACCCAGCTCCTCTTCTGAGTGACTGCCCGAGTAGCATGAACTATTGCCAGGTAGCGATCCATGCTGATACCGGCCAGCAGGAGGATGCCACTGTAGAAGTTGACTTCCTTCAGGAGTGACAGGATTTTGCACATGGGAGTGCCAAAGATCCATTCATGCGCTCTATCTACAGCCCAGAAAGGCAAGGTGAGGGCAAAGAGGAGATCAGCAATGGCGAGGTTTAGAAGATACACATCAGTGACAGAACGGTTTCCTTTGCTATAGGCAATCACCAGAACCACCAGGGAGTTCCCCACCAGGCTCAGAAGGCATGTCAGGCCATAGATGAATGCCACTAGGTATTTGAACACAGGTGGCATAACATCGATTCCGCAGGGTGCTTTTGCTGCTACGCTGTTAGGGTTGAAAGTGCCGTAGTAGTCATAGTCACTGTAATTAGCATCTGGATATAGGTCTGAAAGATCCAGATCAGAAAACAGAACTGTCTTTGCCATCCTTGAGGTCTTTCTCTGGGTCTGTGTAGAGACACATGAACAAGTTCATTAAGATCAAGGGGTTCTATATCTGTTATACATGGAACTGATCTAAGTTTAACCATTCTCAAAATGCTTGAGCATTTTAACAAAGAAGTTAAAACTACTGCAACTTAAATCCTTCATATCAGTCAATGTTACACAAGAACCAAACAGTAGAGCTAAAAGGAACCTGGCACTCATCTAACAATTCCATTTCCTGCTACCACTCAAAACCTGTTGCTAAACGGAGTAGCCTTTGGAATCCAGATTATACTGTGCTGCATGCAGAAAACTCTGCCACAAGTGACAAGAGTTTGCTTTGGGGCAGGAGTGGAATTGTCTTCAGGCTGATTCAGGGAGAGATCACTGAGGAAAAAGATCTACTTTTTTCTATCCATACCCTCCAATATCTCACTGTTCAAAATCAGGATGCTCCATTTTTTGCTTTGGGGCAAAAGTGGAATTGTCTTCAGACTGATTCAAGGAGAACAAAAACAGACACATGAACAAGTAATATATGGATAGAATCTAAGTTTAACAGTTCTCAAAATGCTCGAGCATTTTTTAAAAGTTGAAACCTCAGCATCTTAAATCCTGGTGTTGGGAGCATAACAAGTAATGTTATGCGATAACCAAACAATGTATCTGAAAAGAACCTGACACTCATAACAATTCCATTCCCTGCTACCATACAAAACCTGTTGCTAAACAAAGTAGCCCTTTGAATCCATATTATACTGTGCAATGTGCAGGGAATCCTGCCAAAGGTAACCAAAAGAGTTATCAATTTTGGGAGCAAAGTGGTGGTGGAATAGTTTCTGGACTGATTCAGTGAGAGGTTACTGAAGAAAAACATCTACTTAGGAATCTGGTGCCATTGGCTCAGCAGGCACATTTATTCAGAATACCACAGAGAAAAGAAGATGGATATAGCTCGGAAGAAAGCAATAAATAAAATATAATTGATGACATTGGAGAGGATCCCCCCCCCCGAACTGGGAGGATAGTAGCACACAATTTGGATAATTTCTACTGGCTTTGAAAGTATTTGAACAAGCATGTCAGAAACAATTTGGCTATTGATGGCAATCCCATGTGCACTTTCCTGGGAGTAAGACCCATGTAACAAAGTGTGTGTTATTTCAAAGTAAACATGTATAATACTGCAGTGTGGACTTGTCCCATGAGAAAACACCCTGAAAATCTAAAGGAGATTCATTGATTGCTTCCTTCTACTGCTCTTATGCTGTTGACCTCATGGTATGAGGAAAAGCAACCCATCAAGATCATGTATTCATTAACTCAGATCAGAGTCCTATGTCAATGTTGAATGAAAATTAAACAGTCTCTGTTGTGATGTTTTGAAACTTTAGATTAAATTAAATTTATTTCTTTTTTTATTTGCACTGCTCTAACACTGTATAATCTTAATTGGTTTGCCAAGCCTATCATCATTATCTTAACAAACTTTCAAGGAACTCTGGTTTGATCTAGTTCCGCTCCTTCCGGGTTTATATTGAATTTAATTTCTAGACCAAAAGCATACCAGTAACACTGTTTGGGGAACCTGCAATTTATAAACAAGTGTTGCATTTGAAGAGAATTTAGTAAGAAGAAAAATAAACTGCCACATTGACAGTAAGGTTATGAATGGCTATGGAACTGTGCTCACACCAAACATTTTAAGCACATCCCCCACCTGAAAGGTTGGTTTATCTACTTCAGCAGACAGACTCCAATCTTACAAATTTAAAACCATGGGCACCTGACTTCCAATCCTATAACATCACCCTCTTCATAGGCAAAGACATATTTATCAGTGATTACCACCCTCATTATTAACACATTCTAGGATAAGTGTCTACAGGAGAGCAGCCACTATCCCTCCATTTCAACAAACTTCAAGAATTGCACTTCCCACCCCAATAATATTTTTTTAGCTCTTCTCTGTCGAGGCACCTGCCATTCAAGTTTCAGCCAAAGCCACCAGTCCCACAAGCAATTGTTTTTTAAAAAAATAAAAATAAAAGCCTTCCCTCTCTCCAAGTATCCACCCTCACATTTCAACAGAATCCCCACAAAATTATCCTCCCCCATTATCATTATTAACACACATGTATTCTGGTATAAGCAGGTGGTACTCAGTGTTAGTCCCATTCGCATGATTAACTTAGGTTCATTAAGTTCAATGGTTTACTCTGAGTAGGACATAGCTGAATTCAGTGTAGCATGCATAGCAGAGGTGGGGAAATCTCCTTTAGTCCAAGAGCCATCATCCATTCTGGACAAGTTTCCGAGGTTCAAGTGGGCATGAATTTTAGTTACATTACAGCATTTTAAAATATACAGCTTGTAACTAAAATGCAACCCACCCACCCCCAAAAAAACAACTGTGAGAGGGCATTTTCTATCTGCAGCTTCATATTTAAATCAAAGAACATGCACACAGAGAGCATTTTTAAATTTACACCCCCAAAATCAAATCAAAGGAGAACTATATAGGTTGCAATTTCAGCACATGCCTCCAGAATTGGGGAAAGTATTATTTTCTGCTTCCTGCACCCTGGTTTTACAACAAAAGCAAGCAAGAAAAGGGGTTTTGCCTTCTTACCTCGGTCACGGAAACTTGTGTGAAGAGCTCTTCCCCTGTCCTCTGCCCTGCACTCAAGAAACAAAAGTAAAACAGATCCTCTTTCACCCTCACACAGAAGGCAGGCTAAACAGAGAAAATGGACAGAAGGTTCTCACTCATCGGGTATTGTGGGTGACGGGGGGGGGGGAGATAGACCATGGATTTGGTCCCAGCTATTATGGCTAATAATCAGGGATGATGGGAGATGTAGTATACAACATCTGAAGGGCATCATGTTGGCTACACTTGTGCAAGGGACAAAGACTGTGGATGCTGGGAAGTGGTCCACCAAATGCCTCTGGAAAGACCACGATCAAGCAGGGATGAAGGCAACAGTACATCTCCCATGTTGCCTCCATGTGTCCTTTACAGGAGCACTTTGCTGACTATTGTTGGAAAGTAGTGTCCTGGGTGAAGTTTTGGTCCGATACAGCAGGGCTCTTCTTAAGGATGTCCTATTGATTTAAATAAGACTTACTCCCAAGGAAATAAGTATGTGTGCATAGAACTGCAGCATCAACTCCCCCTCTGCTGTAGTCTGAATATTTTCACATTTGTTCTAGTGTACAATAAAAATGTAAAATGCGCCCAGAATATTGGAGAAAACATTCCAATGGATGTTTAGGGAAAGCTTTGGTCAATTGCACATATGATTTCTCTAAATATGGGTATAAGAGAGGATTGTTACCAAATCATACCTAGATGGTATATTAGGTAAAGGTAAAGGGACCGTTGACCATTAGGTCCAGTTGTGGACGACTCTGGGGTTGCGGCGCTCATCTCGCTTTATTGGCCGAGGGAGCTGGCGTACAGCTTCCAGGTCATGGTGAACCAGAGCAGCGCACGGAAACGCCATTTATCTTCCCGCTGGAGCAGTACCTATTTATCTACTTGCACTTTGACGTGCTTTCGAACTGCTAGGTTGGCAGGAGCAGGGACCGAAAGACGGGAGCTCACCCCGTCACAGGGATTCGAACCACTGACCTTCTGATCAGCAATCCCTAGGCTCTGTGGTTTAACCCACAGCGCCACCCGCGTCCCTTAGATGGTATATTACCCCTGCAAAAATACATGAAATAAACATAAGCTACCAAGCCACATGCCAGAAATGAGGGTCAGTGTGGTGTAATGGTTAGAATGGTAGGACGCGAACCTCAGAGAGCAAGGTTCAAATCCCTACTCAGCTATAAAGCTTGCTTATTTGGAAGGTTCTGTGAAGAAAGATCATGTGGATTTGGCTTCCTACTCATTGGCAGCAACAATAATGTTATATGCTGTTATATGCACAGAGTGGTATGATAGAATTTGGGGTTATGTTTTGATGCCAAAGTTAGCATCCTTTGTTAGATCTAGAGAACAAAATCAAAGACAGAATTATTTTTTGTCAATGTGGAATACCTTTATTCAACATTGTAGGAGTTATGGATTACAAGTAACTTTTTGAGAAGACCCTTGAGAAGTGCTATGAAATGGGTTTTCAGCCAAGCCTTGCCCTTGACTTGTATCGTGCACTAAAGTGGAAAGATCACAGCATGTTTTTTCCCCACTATAAGCAGGGTGGAGCCATCTCTTTGTTTAAGGATTACAACAGTTAAAAGAACCACAAAGGCGGAAGCTGCTACTGGGAAAGATGATGTTTTTTGCCCTCATATGTTCTGCAAATTTTCCAGCTAGGAGTCTTTCATGGTGACTACCCATCTATCTGAATTTTCCCATGGAGACCAATCCCACCCACTCCCAGATTACCAAATCAGTCAGCAAATTGCTAAAACTATAGTTTTAAAAACGACCTGCTCTGGAAGCCGAATGTTTACATGATAGAGGAGGAAACTCTTAACCACAAGGGTTTGATACAATGAAGCTGTTGATGGCTTTTGGCTTCAGCTTCTGTGGAACGTGTTCCAATATCATAATGACCAGGAAGCAAAGATCCGGTAACATATGCTAAATTCATTAAGGCTTTTGAATCTGAAAGGTTCTTTTTTAAAGAATACTTCCACACCCATTCTCATCACACATTTGGCCAAAGAGGTGGGCTGATCTAGATGGTTTTGAAAGTTAATGGCACAACTCTATGCATATTGACTGAGAAGTAAGCCCTAGTGTATTCAATGGGGCATACTCCCTGGTGTGTTTAAGGAACATAGCCTACCATCAAAATTGAGCGCTTGTTGAACTTTCAGATGAAATGGGCAAAACACAGCAAGAAACCACTGCTTTCCCACTATTTGTTAAGGAAGCAAAGCTGACAATTTTGCTTTAGAAGGGAAGACTTGCAGGTGGGGGTAGAGATTTGTGAACCTGTCAGTTTCAGTTTCTTTCCATTTCCTCGTTTTTCCAGTCTTCGGTTTGCCAAATTTCCACATCAGTTTGTAATGTTTTTGTTTTTTTAAAAGACCTGATGAAAATTCATCAGCATCTTAGTGTGCATCTTGACACATTTTTGCAGAATTTTCCACAATCTAATGCATTTTTGTATGCTATCTTCACTAATATTTGCATTTTTATGCATACTTTCCCATAATATATGCATTTTTGTACATGTTAGTCAGTTTACTTGGCTAGATAACTGCATAGCAAAATATGGATAATTTTGAAATTCAGAGGGTGGCCATGTTTCAGTTATAGCCCATCTAAGGGCTTTTCAAGCTTTTTTAACCATTTCCACCACTATTTTCAGTTGTTTGTGTGAGGAGCAAAGGAAGCATCATGTGCACACTGAGGTTATGGTACTGTTGTCATTACCTTTGCTTCCTCAGTCCTTCTCTGCCACAAAGAGGCCGAAATTAAGTGTGAAAACCTCACCCTAGGCTGGGCTATAATTAAGACACCACCCCTTCTCCCACTTAGGTGGGTGAAGGAAACAGACTTTGAGGCTGGTTTTCTGCTCAAGTACAAGTTGGGAACTTTGTTGAAGAAAATGATAAATAAAATGACTGGACTGTTTCACACACTATGTACTATATACTATGTACAGTTTTAAAAATGTACATAGTATGTGTTGGGAACTGTCATGTTTGTTTTACATACAAATCTCCACTCACTCCTCTATTCTGCTCCACCCAATCCTCCTCATTGTAAGTATTTGTAGTTCTAAATAGCAAGTTGCCATTAGATTAATTGGTGTGACCAGAGAATAGCACACAGTAGAGAGACAAGGACAACCACAAGTCCTTGCAAGATTACACACAGTCCTTGCAATAGACATCTTAAAGAAAACGTTCCTTTTAAAGCATGGTTGGCAAACTTTTTCTGGCCCATTGATTATCAGCCGCTGGAAGCCTGGGATTGGTATGAATGTAACTTTACACATAGGTGTGTGTGTGTGCGCGCGCATGCTTGCACACACATACAACACACACATACACACAAATACCACACATAACATACACAAATCCTGCATATATAGCACACAAATCACATGTACAGCCACACATCCAAGTGCACCTGCCAGTGCACCTCTGTCTCTCACACACTCTGGAGGAAAGTTAGTTCTCTCAAATGGTTTTTTATTATTATTCACAGAAGTATCTGGACAGAGGTTATGATAACATTTCCACCCCTCCGCATTCCAGTAGCTGTGCTGGTGGTTGAAATACCACCTTTTATTCTTCACAAGCAGAGAGGTTTTTATCTCCCCATCTCAGTGCCGAACATCCAAGCAGTGATTGGTTGATAAAGCACACTCTGCCCACTGTTTAGAGAACACTCTCAAAAAAGCAAATAGAGCACCTTACCTCCCCATCTCAGCCCTGAATACCACAGCACTGAGATCAGGCAATAACACCCAGGGGGTGACAGGCTACTTCCTGTAGCTTTACAGGCCGGATGCAACCTGAAGCTTAGCCACCCTTGCCTTTCACTCAGTGTGGCTCTATTAGGGCTGTAGTCCTATACATAGATGAAAAATGCTCCATGAAGCAGGCCTCTGGGCAGAGGTTATTTAGAAACAGCTATGGATGTGGAGGGGATGTTTGGCTTTGCCAGGCCTTGTTGACACAACGAGTAAAATTTAAAATCCAACCTACTCCACCCCACCCAATCCTCATTGTAAATAACTGTGGGTTTTCACTGTCAATTGCCAAGAAGAGTTATTTATTGCAAGTCGTGTAATAAAAAGAAAAGGTAGAACAGTGTTCTTATTGTGGACAGCCATTACTACGCGAGGGAAAAGGGGCTCCACCTGTTTGCTTACTAGGGAGTGTGTGTTTGCTGGAGGGACGGGGGCCAGATTTACTCTTCCTTGTGAACTCTGATTTCTGAAGGGTGGAGAAATACCCACATATTCCCCCAAAATGCATAGTAAAACAAGTCAGTACTTTATTATTCTTTTCATTTTTTAATTATTTTAATTTTACTGCAAATTCATGAGGAATGGGGAGAAGGGGGGGAAGGGAACTAGCTAAAAAACAAGGGAAAAAAAACCTGTCAGCTCACATTAACAATACAATAACCATCACTACATCCATTTTAATTTACAGATTTAAAAGACGATTAGACAAATTCGCAGAGGATAAAGCTACCAGTGGCTACCAGCCATGATGGCTATGCTCTGCCTCCACATAGTTGGAGGAACTAATGCTTCTGAATGGGAACTGCAAGAGTGGAGAGAGCTCGTGCAGCAGGAGACTCTTCTTATGTTCTTACACGTAAAGCTCCGTAAATGCCATCCAAATGTTCAATGGTATCTAAGTAAGGTTAGCATTTATTAAAAGTGTGTTTAAATGCAGCTAGGAGGTTAAAGACTTCAGCCCCTTGTATAATAGATGAGTTTGGAGTGCAATAGTTTTACTTTAACAACCCTCCCAACATCCTGCACAAGAGCTGTATTACATTTTAAAGTTGGTAGTGAGTAGCAAGACTCACATGCAGGTCTGGAGATTCCCAACCCAGCACTCACTGGCACTATAGTGCCCACAAATATCTTCATGGTCATCTCGGTGCCCACAAACACAAGGCTGGCAACCCCCGTGCATAGGATTCTTTTTTAAAAAAAAAATCATTTCTGTACAATTTTACTTTACCCCAAAACCTATTAAGGCATTTTCAGTCTATCTTAAAACATAAAGTAAAATGCTACAATGTATTCTGAATTAAAATGTATAAGGAGAATCAAACCCCAAACACAACAAAGATATGCATTTAAGGCAGTTAACAAAAAAACTAATTATTCCTACACCCAAAATTTGCAAATAAAAATCAAATACAAAAAGACAGTAAACTTTTTAAAAATTAGGGTTCAATCCCCACCCCCAGCTATGCTCCTGTGTCTTCAAGAACTATATGACAGGCAGAGATTCAATATGGAAAATGCTCTGAATTTCTGTCTGCTAGGCAGCTGTCAAAGGTGCAGGACTGGGAAAATCAGGTGGCAATTTAATTCTGTTTGGCACCACTGCTTTCCAGCAATGCCTCCCCCTCTGTGGAAATAGCAGAGCTGAGCAGTAGTTGTTGGCAGCACACAAGAGCGAATGTTACTGGGCTTATCTACACAGTTATCATGTTGCACAATGGGGAAAATGGAAGTATATGGGGAGCGGTGCCGGATTTATGTATAGGCTAAGTAGGCTGAAGCCCAGGCCTCTAAATCTAGGGGGCCTTGCCAGCCCTCCCACTCCTCTGCGGGCAGTCTCCCCTCTCCTAAAATTGTAAACCCAAGACTTTATGCAAGGGCAGGGCAACTCAGGCCCAGCAACTGGCTC